AATTACATTAGTGTTACTAAATAAGATTTTCCTTCAGATTGTTGAATACATTTGCAACGTAAGTATTTATGTGCTTATATCTAATATGAAATACACTTAAGATATTTACTGTATTATTTATTAATGTATTTATACCTATTGTTATTATGAACAGTAATAGTAACCAAACCCACACAGAGAAAAAAGGGGGAAAAGTTTTAAAGCTTTTGCTTTTCCATTCTTTGAGGCAAGATCAGTCAGGGCAGGCAAGCCAGCTGTGGTGCTGGAGCTTTCCCCTGTGTGAAGAGAGTGTGAAGTTCTTGAACTGAGATGAGTTAGTCCTGAGAGTGAACACAAGAAATTAACAATGAAGCATTCATGAAAGATGGAGATAATTCAGTGAAGGGTAGGAATGGTGACCTACAGACATGTCAGCTTCACCTCTGTGCTGGGGAGGATCCTCCTGGAAACTATGCTAAGACACGGAGCAAGAAGGAGGGGATATGAGACAGCCTGCGTGGCTTCACCAAGGGTAGGTTCTGCCTGACCAACCCGCAGGCCTTCTTGGTGCATAACTGCATCAGTAAACAAGAAAGAGCCACTGATACCATCTGTCAGGACTTCAGTGAGGCCTTTGGTGTGGTGCCCCATAACATCCTTCTCTCTGAATTGGAAAGATAAGGATTTAATGAGCAGGCTGTTCAGTGGATGAGGAACTGGTTGTGAGATCACACCCAAAGAGAGGTGCCCAATGGCTCAGTGACCAGATGGAGGTCAGTGATGAGAGGCGGCCCTCAGGGTCAGTAGTGCTCTTTAATATCGTCATCAGTGATGTCAGTAATGGGATAAGTGCACCCTCAGCAGTTTGCAGATGACACCAAGCTGTGTGGTGTAATGGATGCAGCCTGGGAATGGGGAATGGGATGCCATCAGAGGGACCTGGACAGGCTGAGCAGTGGGCCCAGGTGAACCTCTTCAGGTTCAAAAAGCTGAGTGCAAGGTCTGCCCCTGGGTTGCAGCAACTCCCACTATCAGTACAAGCTGGGGATGTAAGGATGGAGCACAGCCCTGCCAAAAAGGACCTGGGGTACTGATGGATGGCAGCTGGACATGCGCCAGCACTGCGCCCTCACAGCCCGGAGAACCAACCACATCCTGGGCTGCATCCAAAGCAGCGTGGCCAGCAGGGAGAGGGAGGGGATCTGCTCCTCTGCTCTGTGCTGTGAGACCTCACCTGGAGCACTGCGACCAGATGGGGAGTGCTCAGTACAGGAGAGACATGGAGCTGCTGGAGAGTGTGCAGAGCAGAGCTGCAAAAATGAGCCCAGGGATGGAACACCTCCCTGTGAGGACAGGCTGAGAGCTGGGCTGTGCAGCCTGGAGAAGGGGAGGCTCTGGGAGACCTGAGAGTGGCCTTTCCATAACTGAAGGGGCTGTAAGAAGGAAGGGGACAGACTTTTCAGCAGGAACCATTGTGTTAGGGCAAGGGGAAATGGTTGCTAACCATCTCTCCCCAAAGAGGGGAGATTTAGGCTGGATATTAGAAGTTTTTTGCAGTAAGGGCGGTGAGGTACTGACACAGGCTGCACAGAGAGATGGTGGCGCCCCTTCTGTCTGCAGACACTCAAGGTCAGGCTAGGCAGGGCTCTGAGCACATGATGGAGCTGTGTCTACAGCTGCAGGGAGTTGGACTAGGTGACCTTTAAGGGTCCCTTCCAACTCCAACAGCTGTGATGGTTTTGTGCTGAAAGATTCAAGAAGTGATGTTCAGACCTCCAGGTCTTCAGGCTTACAAAATACAGCGTCCTGTAAAGTTCTTAATTTCAGTTTAGAAGGATAAGTCTAGCAGGTGCAGAAATGATTGCAGTTAATATTGTAGCCAAAATTCTGACTCCAGCAGCAAAGCGTCCCTCACAGGCAAGAATTCTATCTCAGTATCTGGTAGACTGGAGTTTCACACTGGGAGCATCTGTCTAAAGCAGGTTCCTGTAGACGAGTGGTGTATGATGATGTTCCCTGTTTGCCTTCTGTCATTTTTCAGCCGACATTCCTTCCCTGTCTCACCTTTGCCGCCTTGAGATCCGCTCCATCCTGGGGAGTGAACGTCTGCGGTCTGACCGGTTTATCCGGGCTTTGCCCCTGCCAGTCTGCCTGCAGGACGACCTGCTGTACCTCAACCTGCTGCGTGCCAGCACTGCGCCGGAAGCAGAGGAGAACCTGAGGCACGGTGAGGAGGGACCTCCCTCTGCTGCTGCCTCCAGCTCTGACCGTACAGAGAAGGGGGACGCCGGTAATTCCCCTGCTAGGTGATGGCACTGCCAGCGACTGAACTCGGTGGCCGCAGACATTGTAAAGGCAATAAGCAGACAACAGGGACCTGCTGTAAGTCGCTTTGTAGTCATAAGTCTTTTCACGTTGTAGTTTTATACTTTGTTGAGAAGTTTGTTGAAAGTTCAAGGATGTGCTCATCAAAAAGTCTGTTGTAGCCTTCGAAGTCTGCAAATGTTTTCTGGTTTTGAAAGGAATTTATAACTCTTACGGAGTAAAATTACCTTGTTCAGTGAACAGAGGCTGTACATAGAAGCTGAAGTCTATTTGTTCAGGCACTGCTAATAGACACTGCACTCCGAGTATGGCACATAGCAAACGAAATATCTGGAAGTCGAGGACCACAGTGTAGTATTGTTAAGAATTTCTTTTGGTGAGGAGTGATCTAATTAAACCAGATAGCAAACTAATGAGAAAGAAAATTGGTTTTCTTCCTTCTGTCTGCATTCAGCACTTGAAGTGCTTGCTGTTCTTTTGCCATCATTTTCAGTCATCTTTCAGAGCATCCGTCTATTCCACATCCTTTGGAATCCTCCTGCCTGTGTTAACAAGTTGCTGCTCTTGTCACTATTTTTCTAATTAGTGAAAAGCAGATCACAGCCTATAAAGATGAACAAGGTTTCTGCCTTACTCAGTGGCTTACACCAGTGTCTTTATAACTGTTTGTAACTTTGATTCCGAGTAGTAATTTCTTAAGAATACTCCCCACACCTCAAACACGTGTACAGTGAGCACTGAACTCTGTGTGAGCTGCATCTAAAACGTTGAGAAATGTCTGGAGTTTTCTGCTGAAATTTACTGTACGACATGGGTCAAAGTTTGTGTTCTTTAGTAACAAAATTGATCACGGAATAAAGGTAATCCATATCTCTGAATGGGATTCCTTGCATAAAATCTGATCAGCTTGTGATATTTTTTAAACAATACTTCTGTATCTACGGCTACATCAAGCTGTATGTTTTCATTAGCAGTTACAACGCATTTTTGCAGTCATTATCAGTGAATTTTCTTTCTGTTAGCAGCCCCATATAAGGAAAAAAAATGACATTGAAGACTTCTTACCATTTTCATGCTGGTTTCCTTTTATGCTCCATCTGCACCTAACTGGGAAAGGGGCAGCTCTGCCACATCAACAGCCCTTCCCTGGTTGGGTGAAAATGGCTGTGGGGAGGTCAGGAGAGCCCCTGCTCCTCTGTGGAGGAAATTCCCACTTGGAACGTGGGGAAAAGGACTCTCCCTTTGGAGAAAGTTCCCCCTTTTAAGAAAATTCCTACGTGAGTTGCTGGGAACTTGCTGTCTTTTTTCAGAGAGCTCCTATTGGGGATTGTCAGGAAATTCCTTCCTCACATGTGAGGAAATTTCCACTACAAATGCCAGAAAAAAATTCCCTCATTTTAAAGGAAATTTCCCCAAGAAATATTAGAATTTCCTCCCTTGCTGTGGTACTAATTACCACTTGGGTTACCAGGTAATTACCACCCCACCTTTGACAGAAATTTCCATGTGGAAGGCCAAGACCTCCTCCCTCCCATGACACCAGATGAAATTCCCACTTTGATTAATGTTTGTTTTCCCCACACTTGGAGGAAGGTGCCCTGTGGGATAGCAGGAACTTCCTTCTGCTTTGGAGAAAACTGCTATTGTGAGTGCAAAGAAGGGGGAAAGTTCCTCCTTGGAATGCAAGGAAACCCCTCCAATTGCACTCCCTTGCCCTCCCACCCCTTGCAGCCCCCATCTGTGTGCATCCCCACTCAATGGGTTCCCAGCAGTGTACAAATGCACCCTGGTGTGGGCAGCAGCTCCTGGCCTCACTGCATGCTCCCTGTCCCATTATCAAGGTACGTTCCTTTCATCTCTTGCCCTAGGTGCCCTCTACACCCAGCAGCTTGTAAATAACTCATTGCCCATGTCGTAAGCTACCTGTCTGTGACCTTTGAGCCTGGTGGGGCTGGGTGACATTTCACAGGGGAGAGGCAGCCCGAGGAACAGGAGCAGCTACAGTGCTGTGCCAGCATGGGCAGAGCAGCATTGCAAGAATGGCTTGAATAATGAGATTGCCCAAGCTGTTTACTTTCCCTGTACTTGATTTGCAAACCTGTAGCCTGTGGGGCTGGGATGGATTTTGCCAAGGGCTCTGCAAGGCAGAGGAGCTGGGGCAGGACTCCAGGGGCCGGGGCAGGATGGGGTAGAGACGAGGCATGCTGCTGCAGGGGAGGACAGCAGGAGATGCTGCCAGGGGAGATTGCCCTTCCCAACCCTGTCTGACTTCTCCCCTGGGCTCAGTGGAACGTTGGAGCCCACATGCAGCCTTCCCTCTTGTAGCCCACAGGCCCCAGCATCAAACAACCCCAAAACCACAAGGACACGACACCGCTGTACAAAAAACCCTCTTTCAATGAACTGAAAGAACAACCGCGTCTCGCCGGGGTCGGTGGAGGTGCCAGGACACCTCTGGGAGCCCACTGCTGCCTTTGCTCTAGGAGCGCCCTCATCCTGAAGATGTGAAGCTGGTGCCACCTCCACCAGGCTCACTGGTAGTAGTTGCTGAAGGCATGAAGGATATACAGGAAGGTCGTGATGAAGGCGAAGAACTGCAGGAGAGGAGGAGCAAAAGCTGGAGTCAGCAGAGTCCCCACAGGGTTACAACTCTGCTGTCTCACAGTGTTCTCTGTCTGGGGAAACCACTCGGCCAAGAGCTCCCTCCAGCCTCACAGAAGAAGCAAAGCCCCCACATTGCTCAGGATGTCCCTGAGCTGCTGAGCCCCAAGAACCCCCTTATGCTGGCTGCACAGTGTGATGGACAAAAGCAGCTGAGGCCGCTGGGTGATACAGGCTTGGGTTGGAGTGTCGCTGCCTTGGAAGTCATATTTGCTTCTGCTCTCCCCGGGAGAAGCTGCTGGTGTGCTTCTGGACTGACTCACCGATGCCGCACAGTTGAGCTGGTAGTAGCGTGGTGAGCTGAAGCTGAACTCCGAGTTGATTGTCGCGTTGGCTTGCAAGACAGCAGCGCTCATGTACAGAATGGCTGTGGCACCGTGGTACAAACTATCCTGCAAAACAACGGAGTGCCGTGGATCAAAAATCGCTCTGCCTTCCTTTCTGCCATTCACCCTTGGGGCAAGGAGCTACTGTCCAGCCTCTGTGCGTGAGCGTACAGATAGGACACGCACCCAGACGGGGGCTGGAACCAAGCACTGCCTGGCTGCTTCACAGCGTGCTCAGCCCTCCTGCGTCCACCCAAGGGAACCCATCTCCAGCTGGAAAAGAACAGAGCCCTGCCACAAGCTCACAGGTTGGTGGGGATGTAGATGGGAACAGCTTCTGTCGCATCCTGAGCTTTTCTCCTTTGTTCTGTGCTCCAAATGGGGCTGAATGCGATAAAGTGGAATAGCAGAACCTCCCCCAGGCACTTCCAGGAAATGCTTCGCTGTCTCCCCAGTGAGGAAAGGGACACTTATTTGCAGACGGGCTGGCCAACACATCTCCAGCTGCTGCTACCACCCACCTCTGCCCATTTCTGAGCCCATCCTTACCAGCACTTTCCAGTTGTTGCTGTTTTTGTGAAAGCCGAAGAGGTAACTTAGGAGGAGCAACAGGGAGATGAGGAAGGAGGTGAGGGACACGTACATAACCCATCCCTGCAGCAGTGGGAAGGAGACTGAGGTAGCAGCAACGAGGATCCAAACCCAGGCCCCGCAGATCTGTTGGCGACAAACACAGGCACTTCTAGTGAGCTTAGGATGGGGAAATCCCTTTCTTCTCCCTGCATCCTTGCATACCTCCTTCTCAGATCAGCCTTCACCTTTGGGCAGTGCAGCTCAGCCTCCATGCAGGGCATCCTTGGACCAGCAGCAGCATCGCAAGCTGGCACAAGTTGCTGTGAATGCTCTTGGGAAATACCTCCCAATGTTCCTTACAAAAAGGAAGTCATGGCTGCTTTGTTTGACAGAAGGAAAAGCCTCACCCTGAGGGCTTCGGCAAGAAGCCAGAAGCACACTTTTATCTCGGAAACGTGAACCACTGATGTCAGCCCAGCCCTGCCTGCACATTAATCTCCTGGGCCTGAAATCACAGCACAAGGAAGTCGTCTCCTGACTTCACACAGCAGCCCAGAATGAGTTGCTTGCTCCATTTCCACCTCAAGTAATTACTGAGCAGAATATAGCACATAGGGCTGCTTCGATAAGCTCTCGCCAGCTGTGTTGGACAGCCTCCTTGGTTTACGCTGACAGCACCTACGATGTGTGGATGGTGTGTGCTGCTGGTACCACATCGTGGCAATGAGCTGCTGGACCCTGTGTCAAAGTTCAGCTGCAGCTACTGCAGCCTGTCAGGCTGGATGCCCTCTGGACTCGGTCACAATTTGAAAATGCATGCAATTTTATGCAGTACAAGAAGCCTGCTTGCCTATAGACCTCACGAAGACTTAATCCAAAGAACAAAATGCCTTTAATTATAAGCTATTCTCAATTTCTGTTTGCTAAGTAGAGCTGCTGCTGCTCCCCAGGCACACAACACTCTTCAGCCTCTCTTAGCTAGCTGGCAGCCCCCTGTGCAGGCTCTGTGCTGGTGCTGCAGCTCAGCTGGTCCTCATGGTGCGCCGAGAACAATTTAGCCAATAAAATTACCTCTATGTGTTCAGAATAAATCAAAAGAAAAGAAGATACTTTTCATTCAGGCTACTTGCAGGATGCTTCAAGGGCTACTCCAAATTGTTAACCCCAGCGTTCCCTAGAGTCGCTACCCAGGTGGCAGAGCTCAGCAAAGCTGAGGGTACTCACTATCTCCGGCAGGATGAAGGCGTAGGGGATGGTTTTAAAGACGACCGGTCCGGAGGGCAGGGTGGACTGCGAGGTGGCTGCAGTGGGAGATGCCGATGCCATCGCTCCCCAGCTGACGCCGTGGCCGCTCGGGCTCCGCTAGGCTCGCGTGTGTCAGTGCTGCACCACTCCCTGGGGCTTTTAGCTGACACACCCGCGGGGACGTAATCGCAGAGACCAGCCCAGACTGGCACCACGCCGCTTCCTCCAGTCTAAGGAGTCCTCGCTAACCCTCCACTTAGCTCCTAATACACCCCGATGTCGACACGGGGATGGGATGGGCTCCCGCACCTGCCAGCACTGCCACTGGCAGCAGCACACGGTCAATTGAACGAGGAACGACAAAGAATCCACGCCATACTAACGCAGAAATGTTTCCTACAGTCCGATTTTGTCCTTGGCACTCGCTCAAGTGTGAAGTATTTTCGTTTCCACTTTCTTTGCCTCCTCCCCTTTCTGCTCAGGTTTCTGCTCGTTGTTCACAAGAATCCCCCACACCCAATGGACGTATCCAGCCCTTGAACGCTTACAGCCTGCCACGGCCTTGACAAACATTTTCTACAGGCAGCTCAATGCACTGGTGAAAGATGGGAGAGTTTGTTTGCTCAGAACTTCCACTAAGAGAAAGCTTTGATTTCCAGCTCCTTGTAGCTGTGCTTTGGATTCAGTGAAGGCACTATTTGTTCTGCCTCGCCCGCTCAAGAAGTGTAGGAAATAACCAAAGGAATAAAAACCTGAAGGTGGTATCTCTGGCCTATGTCACAGAGTAGACAGAAAGAGTCCACCACCTTGGACAATCCTCTGCAGCAAGAGGAGGATGATATCCTACTGCTATATCATATGTATCTAATAGAAGGGCCAAATTTAGCCCTCGGAATTTGGCTTCCAGGCTCCTGAGCAATGCAGAATAGAATCAAATCCATGATGAGGAACATCATTTGAACCTGTCCTAGGCCAGGGGAATGTGTTTTGTAGGACTTCCAAAGGCTCCAGTTTACAAATGCTGACAGTGAGGACTGGCCCTGGGCTCTACAGTGCTGCGATCATTGCAAGACCTTATTTTAGAATATTTCAGATCAGTTTGGATGTAAATTCATGTGTGACTTGGTAAACGCTCACTGTGGCAATGCGCCCATCACCATGGACAAAGCGTGCAGACATCCGGATACTCCAGCACAAAAGAGAAAACAGATGAGTAACTTCCTACCAGGACTGCGTAGCACGCAGGACCTGTGGTTACACAGCGCTCAGGGAAAAGCAGCCCTGAACGTCCTGGTCCATATGAGAAATACCCTGCAACTCATCAGCCTGCACTCAGAAGCCAGCACAAAGTGAGCTAACCCACGGCCTGGCCGTGCAGAGGGGAATGGCAGCGTTCCCTGAATTCTCACCACCATGGATTTGTGCTGGGTGGGGCCAGGCACACATTCCTGTGAATAACTCAACCTTTTCCTGAGTGAGAACAGAAAACAGTAAAACAGTAAAACAGTCTAAATAAGGAGCAATCTGCCGTCTGCTGATTGGACAAGAGATTACTTTTTTTCCTGACCTTGTTCCACAGCATTCTTAAAGATCGTGGCTGTTTTCCTTGCCTGCTACCAGTCCACTTGGGTGCTGAAACAGTCTGTTGTTCACTCTGGTCAAAACAAAATTGGAATTTAACTGAAAGCTGTGTGAGGAAGTGCTGCCACGGCATTTGCTCTGCTTCAGCACGGAACAACTGTGGCTACAGGAGGTTCAGACTGCCGTAGCTTTGGCTGACACTGCAGAGAGGAAAAGGTAATATAATTTATTTTAGTTGAACCAATGAAACAATGCCTGCCTGCCTCAAAAATCTTATTTTTAATGTGTGAAAATGTTTCTTGCAATACAGATAGTACACACAATTTCTCTTTGGTAAAAGTTCATCTGTACTGTTACCCTCCAATCCATTCATACTGTGGGATTGTTTTTCCTCGTTTCTCCTAAGAAATCGTAGGCCAGCTCAGAGATGTCAAAGGCTGTGTGAGTGTTTTCTGAGGACAGCAGAGACTGAAGGGCACCACCGTTCTCTCGGCTCTTTCTCAGAAAGTCAGCAATCGCTCTCCAGCGAGATGCTTCGGACTCCTCATCTGCCCACTTGTAGCTGGGGAGCAAAGTGGACCTGAGGAGAGGGAAGGCTGAGTCGTGGTACACCAGGATGAACACAGACTTCAGGAATTCTCGATCTCTCTGCAAAGAAGAAAAGCATTTGGCATCATTTCCATGCAAAAATATGCAGTGCTGTAAAGCAGTCCTACATAAGAAAAACAAAACAAAAACATTCAATCAGCCCCCAGTTCCTGGGAGGCCGGACCTTCTTCAACATCAGTCAGGCTGGATGAGCCTCAAACCCAGCACAGAACTACACTGTGTAAGCTGCGGATCAGCTCTGCTGATCTCCAACTCCAACTGCTCTCCAACACAGTGCAGTGGTACACAGCCAAACACACAGATGCTGCCACCTCTGCTGAGGAGGAACCTTGTGATGCTGATCTGACCAGTCCCCGTGGTTTTCACAGCCAGGGGGTTCTCTGGAGATACAGACTGTGCTTCCCAACGAGCCATTCAAAGGCATCGTAAGCTTCACAGTGCATTAAAATCCCTGTCCACATCCCCACACCTGATTTTCAGATAGAATCTTACTGCACTCCGCCTGAGGAAGCATTACTGCATAGTTTGATACTAAAATTCATCACTTAAAGAGAAATTTCAACCTTCTGCAACCCTCTTCTCCCTCCACCCTGGTGAGCTGCCTATGTTGAAGCAGCCTGAACTATCAAGCTTTCTTTTGGTCCTGCCTTCAACTTTGGATAGTCCCTTGTAAAGCATGCTTAATTTAGGTTGGGCAAACAGAGGAAACAACACACTGGAAAGTCTAATCATTTTCTTCCTTTTTAATACTTATTATCTTAGTATTAACTCATCTAGTCTTAATGACTTCATCTTAATTAATTCATCTAGTCTTAATGGCCTTCATCTCTCCCTACTCTACGTTTGTAGTCACACACATTAGAAATGAAAGTCAGTTTGCTGGGGGCAGTGGAAACCCTGAGACCTCTAACAGACATGTCAACACCTTCCTGGTTTCAGAATTATTTTGGTTCAAGCTCTTGCAAAACTAGAAGAGATCTTTGCACTTTTTCATTGCTTTGCATGAAGTCTTGTACTGCCAACGCTCACCACAGAAAGTTATCTCATGGGGTATTTATATTTCTTCCTAAAAACACCAATGTATGAGGAGAAGACTCTTCTCCAGAGCCCTGCATGCAGAAATTGAGTGTGTTTGCTCTTGTCCCTGGGGGAGACACACATCCTCTCTGCCTCACAGGCCCAAATCCCACCTGTCCCTCCAGTGCTCTTGGCAGAGAGATGGAACAATCCTTTGTTCCTCGCACCACAAGAGTCTGAGCAGGAGGTAGGGCCATTCTCTATGTAGTTATTTCACATTCTGACAGGGCACTCTGTGTAGAGACAATTATACCCTGCCATGTTTGCAAATCCTAGAAACTAAGGATCAGCCTGGTCAATTCATCAAGCACTGATCACTTCAAACAGACAAAATTTGGGTGCCTCCTTTTCCAAACACGGGAACATAGCCTTCTATGCAAGAAATACAGAATCACAGAATGGCCAGGGTTGGAAGGGACCTCAAGGATCATGAATCTCCAACCTCCCCATCTCACAGCAGCCCAGGCTGCCCAGGGCCCCATCCAACCTGGCCTTGAGCACCTCCAGGGATGGACGGGGCATCACAGCCTCTCTGGGCAGCTGTTCCAGCACCTCACCACTCTCATAGTGAAGAACTTCCCCCTGACATCCAACCTCAATCTTCCCTCCCTCAACTTCAAACCATTTCCCCTTGTCCTGCAGTTATCAACCCTTTCAAAGAGTTGACTCCCCTCCTGTTTGTAGGCTCCCTTTAGGTACTGCAGGCTGCAATGAGGTCACCCCACAGCCTTCTTTTCTCCAGGCTGAACAAGCCCAGCTCCCTCAGCCTGTCTTTCATAGGGGAGGTGCTCCAGCCCCCTGATCATCTTCTTGGCCCTCCTCTGGACCCTCTCCAACATCTCTGTCTTTCTTGTACTGGGGGCTCCATACCTGGACACAGTACTGCAGGTGGGGCCTCACAAGAGCAGAGAGGTTCAGTCACCTCCCTGTCCCTGCTGGCCACCCCTCCTCTGATGGAGCCCAGGATACGAGTTGCTTTCCAAGTTGCAAGGGCACACTGCTGGCTCAGAAAACTGCCTCCTCGAAAACTCACCTGCCATTGAACCTCTGCTAGGATCATGAACAATACGACTGGCATTGGAACCTCTCTGCTGCCCCTGGGAAGCTGAACAGTTCATGTCTCAGCAGAAGATTAGCAGCTGACTGTCATAAAAGCACGCAAGAAGGAGCAAGACCTAGCTGTCGTGCCAGGCAGCAATCCTGCCATAGGAGTGGCACATGACAAATCAGGTAAAACTGGATGGTTCTGGGATTCTGAGGAGTTACTAATTCTCTGAGCAGATCAGCTTACATTTTGGATGAATGGCCTTGAAAAAGCTGTTCTGCTTCAACACAGGGAGATTGCAGAACTTGGGGCCTTCCTCCAGGTAGACTGGAGCAGGACTAGAGCTGGGAGGCTGGCAAAGGAGATTGTTTTGTACCCTTTTACACCAGTGGAAAGTTTTTACCAGGCAAACGTTACAAGCACATCATGAAAGAGAGGCACATTTTGAGCACAAACCTATGACATCTTCCACATTAACAGTTATATTTACAAACACCAAGACAAAAAGTTACAAATTAATTTCGTAGTCCTCCCAGTTTTCTGCATTTTCTAAATAAATCTATGGCGAGAGGAACAGAATTCTGGCAGCAATGCTGAAAGAAAGCTTCTAGTTTGTATCAGATTTGGTGTATGTCAAGGAAAAAACTGGCACTCGGTAACGTACTACCTTTTCTGATCTCTTCAAAGTTCTTTCTCTGTCCGCCCAAGCACTCTGAAATGAGATGTAAAATACACAATGGGAAATCAGATCGAGACTGGGGAAATCTGGCAAAGTTCCACTTTTACCTGCAGAAATCCCTCTTTTACTGCAGCCCCATGGTGGCTTAAGCCCTTGCTGCAGCCCTTCTTTCCTCACGTTCTAATCATCAATCACTTTGAGGCCTTACATCCTTTTCAGATGTGCTCAGATGTTCTCTTGCTGTTGAAGGCACAAGAGATCTGCATGTACTTGAAGTAATTATAACTTTGCTGCTTGGCTTTTCCATTTATCTTTTTACAGTGTAAATTAAAAAGCTCAAATTATGGAAACTAGCTGGGAATTCTGACACATCATTTGTAACTGAACACTATACAGAAAACATACCCGCAGTGCATCCATCAGGTCTGGCTGATCCATGAGTTGAGGAAAAGTTGCTAAAATAGGATTACAGATTAATTCTGAAACAAAAAATAAACACATTGGAGGCAAAGAAGAAATCGGATGGTTTTCAAGGCAGAAGACCAGCTATGCCTAGAAACAGCCC